AAGTGCACAATTGGGTTAAAAAGAGCATATTTTGGGAATTACCATATTGGCACACAAACTTGATTCGACACAATTTAGATGTCATGCACTGTGAGAAAAACTTTTTTGACAATATCCTTCATACAGTAATGGACGACCCTATGACAAAAGATAACATGAATGCAAGCCTTGATCTGGAATTGTATTGTAAAAGGAAAAGTCTGCACATACCAAAAACAGGAGTGAATTCGGGTAAAAAGCTAAAGGCCACTTATGTTCTGAGTAGGGATCAAAGAAAATGAATATGTCAATGGTTGAAGCAACTTAAATTCCCTGATGGATTTGCCTCCAATATATCTCGATGTGTCAATACACAAGAGGTACGATTATTCAGTATGAAAAGTCACGACTGTCACATTTTCATGCAAAGCCTTATACTAATTGCATTTCGTGATTTATTACCGAAACAAGTTTGGGAGCCACTTGTTGAGATTAGTGAGTTCTTTAGGGCCTTGTGTGCTCCGGTGATTCAGGTCAATGACATGGCAATATGGCAAGAGAGGATAGTAGAAATCATTTGTAAGCTAAAGCAAATCTTTCCACCTTCATTCTTTGATAGTATGGAGCATCTTGCAATCCATCTTCTATATGAGGCTCGTGTAGGAGGACCAGTGCAATTTCGATGGATGTATCCATTTGAAAGGTAAATATAATTCAAAATGGTCCTTTCAAGGACCATTTTGAAACTTTTTTAAATTTGAGGGTATATTTAACACAAACTTAGAAGTTGAGGTACCAAATTAGTATTTTAATCATAACTTAATTATATAATAATTCTTGGTGAATCAGGCTAATGCATTGTCTTAAGTTGACGGTGAAAAACAAGCAGCGTCCTAAAGCATCCATATGTGAAAGTTACATAATGTCTGAGATCACAAATGTTATCTCTCATTCTTGGATGATGGGGTGCATAGTACAATTGATAATCCCATGAGGAATATTGTTGTTGGATTTGGTGATAATAGTGGCCTATCCATCTTTAAATGCGTTGGAAAACGTATTGGTTCCAAAATTGAAAGACATTGCTTGATGGTAGAGGAACGCAAAGCTGCTTCGTATTATGTGTTAATGAATTGCGAAGAATTGCGAGGATGGGTCAGGTAAAAAACCTACACTAATATCTTTAATGTCTTCAATTTGTTATGTTAAGATTCATTGAATTAAAATACTAACAATATATAAAAAATTATTATCAAATTTTCTACTTTATTTGAGAGTGAACAATGTCAAAATATAAATTCTCAACAAATTCAAGCAAAACGAGAGAGAGACCTTGTGCCCTGGTTTGAACAAGCTGTGAGTATTTAATAATATGAATATTCAATTCCTTAACATATATA